CGAGGAAGGAAAAAAAGAAAAAAAAAGCGCATGGTTTTTAAAAAAAAAAAAAAAACCCCCCCCCCCCCCCAAAAAAAAAAAAACCTAAATAAGCTTTGAAAACCACGTTCTTATGTATTTATCCCCCTGAACAACCTTGGGTTAGACTCTGTAGACCTAATAGTCCTTTAGAATCGGTTCCATTGAGGATCAAAATTGCAACTTTTATTACATTTTCAGCTAGCGAGGCGCTGCACCAATATGCAAACCCTCTGAAGCACACACTGAGCACAACTTCATTTTTCACGAAATTTAAACAAAAATGGAATCGCATCAGATTTCAGTGGTTGGGGCAGTTCTTCTTTGTCTTTGGTAAAAATAAAATAAAATAAATAAATAAATAAACACAGCACGAGCCATTTCTCCCGCTAGCGCTAGACTCTGGCGTTTGTTTTGGTCGTATTTACCCAGAATGCCCTGTGCTGCAATCTGCTTCCTGCTTTTGGAACGATCTCTGCTCCGCAAAATGCTATTACGAAAATAAATTTGGTTTCAAAGCAGACATATTTTTCAATAAGATGTTTTGGACCGAGAATTAGGTGATTTTTCAGCCGTATCGATTTCGCATTGCTTCAATGGAAACGCTTTTTTCACATCACTTAAGTCGTGATCAACAATTCCGTTACTACTGACGGAAAAGACAAATAAGAAGACAGGAAGTGGTAGGAGGAGGATGCGGCGTGTTAGCAACTGACTTATCGTGCGAACAAGCTTATTCACATGTGATTATAATCGCGTTTCTCACTGCAATTGTGAAATTGTGTTTTTCAACACTTTTTTTTTCCCATTTGTAATGGAAGCGCAGCTAGTGATGCACTGCGTTGTGTTGGTCCGTCACATAGAATGCTAATGAAACCCTTCAGTTTGTGGTTGCAGTGTGAAGGTTGGTGAGGGATTGTTAACACAGCACTGCACATCGACATTCAAACAGAAGCCATGTTATCTGTGATGTGCTCTACCAGGAGAATGTTTCAACAGGATTATTGGAAAAACTTACCGTACTCTATCCCGCTCAGCATGAATATCAATCCAATGGTAAGGAAAGTTACAGTCCTCTTCTGGTGATTCTCCATTGTGCTGACTTACTTGCCACCCTGAACCGAGTACATGTTGTCATGAAATGTCGTTCAGTGGCGCCACAAGATAACAAGACACACCGTGTGTCCACTTATAGCCACTGGCCCGGATAATTGGAGGAATAAGTCACACCATTGTACAAGATCAGAGCACGGCTTCCTAAAGACAGACAACAGAAGCGAGGACTTAGCCGTGTGAAGATATCACATCAGCACAGAAACAGTTTCGCCCCGACTTGAAATAATTACAGCAGTACAACTCCATTAGGCATTTACACTAAAGATGAAATTCTGCTCGAATCCCATTACAAGTGCAGAACCAAAAGCTGTGAGCCTCACGGTCAAGGCAAGGTCTCAGGTTGCCAGGTGAGGCAGAGAACCCGGCGCTTAATACATTTTTAATCTTGTTTTCTTCAGTTACATCAAAAGCATCAGATTCTACTGCCGTCCTATAAGGAAGTGGGCGCAGCATACTGTATGTGCAAAGCTTTTTTTTATTACAAAAAAAGGAGTTTAGTGCCAACTTAATTCAACAAAAAAGTCCAAATAAACATATACGGTTGAAACAAGGTGTTTACATAGAAAAGGTCACAAAAACTTTATTTTTTTTTTTTTACATAAATCAGACAAATGTTTCCTCTCTCAAGTCAGACACTTTCTGCAAAATCCAAAGTGTTCTTACAACATGATAACACCTAAAACACATCAGATCATGTGTGACATCATGACATTTGTGACAAAAACATTTGAAAGATAACTCCAAAAGTCTGGTTCAGCCTCAGGTACAATTTCCCGAAGCCTAAAAATGCCACATTAATGTTCACATTCAGGCCAGAACAAATGCTAACGATCTTGTGAAGATGCAGAACTGATCCTTGTGGCACCCAACAAGTCAAGGGGGCAAGGAGAATCTCATTATTAATGTAAAATGACTTAAGATCCAATAGGATCAACACAGAGCTGTCCATCACTTCAAAAAGAAACAAAAAGCCAGTTTACAGTTTGCAAATGCACCCTAGGAGAAAAAAGCTTGGACAGTAAACTAAATCCAAACTTTTTTCCCCATTAAGCTGCCTAAATTTAGTTCTTAAGGGTGCTATCTTTTTGTTTCTGGGTTCACATTTTGGTATTTTCATTCTGGCCTAAAACCCTCTTTCACACATCACCATAACTCTCCCTAAAACATACAAAAATGGTGCTAGATTTGTTGCTAGTGACTTTAAAAATAAAGTCACTAGAGGGATCTGAAAGATCGCTAACAATAGCAACAAACTCATTAAGCTGGCAATAGTGCTTTCCCTCATCCTGACGACACTCACTCAACCCCCTCTGCTTGACTTGGCCACACCCCCAAAGTATCCTGGCTCCGCCCACTCTGGTGCAATTTTTCAAAATTTGTCTGGGTGTGGGGTTATGGTTTCACAAGGGGGTTAATTACACTTTGTGATCTGATTAAACCACAATCAGACCACATTATTGTTTGGCCATAATCTTGTTTGCATTATTGGTCATTGTTTGGCCATAACAACCAGTTTGCAATTAAATGGCCTAAAGGGGTTTTTCAAAAGGAGAATGACTCTGAGAATAGCACCACATCAGCTACACAGTGTGTTAAGAACAGCACATCTGGAGCGGCCATCATGAATTTCTGATCTCAGTCTGACAGAAAATTGATGTGCAGAGCTGAACAGTGTGTGTGAGCGAGTCGGATATCAAATCTGACTCAGTTCCACCAAGAGGAAAAGACCAAAATTCTAGCAAACTTGTACGATTGTGGAAGGAAACCCAAAATGTCTGCAGCAAGTCTGAAAGTTTTACAGGCAATTTTCCCAAATACTTCAAGTTCAGACTTCTAAAAAAGTAGAAAAGGATTCTCATTATTGTTCCTTCTATGACCAGAACTCTTCCACTTTGGTATCCAACACCAGGTTGGTCATAAATACTTGAATCTTCAAAACTAGTTGGCCTGTTTTTAAACCCTCTGGAGCTTTTAGTTTGTGGTTGATCTTCCTGCTTCTTACCTTTATCGGCAGTTTTTGTATTTTGCTTCAAAGCGGCCAGACTTTCTGTTAGCAGCGGTTCTTCAGGCGTTCTGAGAGTCTGTCTTTGAACATCGGCTCCGTTCAGAACCGCTCATTGCAGAAAGACGTGTGTTTTAAGATTTCTGAGACGTCCAACTATTAATTATTAAGGTGAAGGAAACACCTGCAGTATCTTCCACAGCTAGTCGTACGCCTGGAACTTTTCCAACTTTTGTCACAGCACAGCTACAAACGTTGACGTGTGTTTAGTGAGATTTTATGAGATCGACCAGCAGAGAAAGGAAAATAATACATGTTTTCAAAATTCTTTACAAATAAAGATCACGGTGAAGATTTGTTATGTATTTCTTATTTCTGTTAACATTCTTCACACATTTTTAGTTGAATATGTTATCAATATGATTAATTACAGTGACTGAGCCCCATTCTTTTGGTTCCCTCAGGGGCCACTTGGTGCCCCACGCGCAGTGTGTGATGAATGTGGGCGGAGCTACAGCCCTGGCTGCCATTAGTCAAAGTGTCTACTTAATAATAATAATAGTAATAATAGATTATTGTCTTTCTATGTCATTACAGTATGCGTATCTCATAAAGTACTCAGAAACTTGTGGTTGGAAAATTACAAAATGTAAGTTAAAGAGATGATCTTGAAAAATGTAATCCACATAAATGTAACACCCAATAAATAAACAAATGTATAAAATTACAAATAAGATTAAAAAGTTAATACAAATTTAGATATTTTTTTAAAAAATAAGCTGTGCCCCCCTAACAGTTTTGCTGTTAGGGGGGCACATTTTCTGGGGCCGCCACTGATCTTTTAAGAATCTGTGTCAGGCCGGGCTTTTTTTTTATCATTATTATTATTATTATTATTCTTATTATTATTATTATTATTTGCTTTCACATTAAGAAACATGTTTTTTATTTAGCTCAGGTAGATATAACCAGAAACTGTTGGAAAACTTTCAAAAAAAAGTTTCGGTGACCTTCAGAAAGCCTGGCGGACTATTGATCAAATCTACTTTAAAATTTATAGGAAACAAAACACAAAGTAATGAGGCACGCCTCCGGCTATCTACATAATACAGTTTATAAAGGAAAAAGCTTAACTGAATTCAATAGTGAGTGAAGCGGGTGAGACATGGCTGCTGTGTTTCCGGGCCGCTCGTAGCCTTGGGCGGCTTTTATTAAACTCAACTGTCAACAGGTTAATGCCTCGATCTGCTTTCCAGCAATTCATAAATAATATAAGGGAGTCTGATTGTTTGAATAACACATATAATCATGCTCGGCTTCTTGCACTGGAGCCAGATAATCTGAGACGCCTCAGCAGATCAGAGGGATTAAGATGAGGACTCACATGCTCAGGTGAGTTTGTTTCTTTCTACTTTTTATCCTTTTTGAAAGCTTTGAATTTGTCTATAAAGCAAAAGCAAGCTCAGCCTTTTCATGACAAACAGCTCCAGCTGAGTGTCACAGGCCAAGCGAGAGCCTATTAACATCCTACCTGCCTTACCTGCACCAGTTTCTATAGAAACACATATGAGGGTGGAAGATTTTGCACTCACCTTTGAGCTTTGGTAAACAACAGGAAGTTCCCTGGTGAATAAACTGGAACCCGGTGCATTAATCCCCCCTCGCTGCCTGCTGGAAGACATGAGATGATCTTTTAGGGCGCAGGAAGGACATTTGACTTTCAGATACAGAAAAAAAAATACAGGCTTGTTAGGAGGATACAGGTACCGGCGGGCCAAGGGAGGCGGCTCAGATAGAACCGGGCATGTTCTTGAACACGGCTTCTCCCCGGAGGTCGTTTAGCATCCCCATTAACATCAACCTGCATGGTGCTCGCAGGCGGCAGACACGGTAAGAGCAAATGATGGACTGGGCCGGGCGGCGAGGGCTGGAGGAAACGCAGCTGGGAGTTCATTACGGCTGAAAAACACTTGGAAATGCAAGCAGAGCTTCACCAAATAAACTCTGCTGGCGGACGTTGGGGACGGCGAGGAAATAGTAACACAGACGGCTCAAGTTTGGAAACTGCTTAACACTGCGACTTATTTATTCCAGATCTACACTTGGATGTCTGTGGCGACCTTTACAGTCCAAAGAGGCGTTCTGTTGCCCTCGGTCCGGCTAAATAAAACCGCTTCAGAGCCTGGAGTGTTACATGACCTTTTAGAGAAAGATAACTTATGTTTTTTGAGGGGAAATGTCTACCACAGTTTTATTCCTAATTTTAGGTTTGAAAGTAGAGGGAAAACATTCTTCTAAAAGAAGATGGCTACATTTGCTTCTATTTGCAGTTTCCTGCCTGTTGACAACAGACAACATAAAATAAATAAAAACATACAGATTATTCAATTTAGCACTAAATTATGTCATTAGATTATTAAATATATCATGAAATTATGAAATTGCAATTAAATGATCAGATATCCCTATAATAATTAAAGCTACCTTTTTAGATAATGAATTTAAATCATAAAATGTATTTTTAAAGAAAGCCTTTATTCAAGAATCTAATAATTTCACTGTGTATTCATTCATTTCATGGCTCCTGTGAAGTAATTTAGACCGTCAAACCCAGTGGGCGGGACGAATCCTGTGAAATGCATTGATTTGTTCTGTTGCCTGTTTTGTGTTCAAACATTTTTTTTTTTGTACTAGATTGTGTTACTGCAATAAATTCATATATTTTAAAGCTTTCTATACATATTTACAAAAATAAATATGTCAGAGTTGAAGCCCTAAATTGGCAGATGATTTTGGTGTTTAACCCTCAAGTGGGTTAAACATCCTCAGATTCTTTGTTTGCTTCAAAGAATCTGAAGCAAACATCTTTTACAGCGTCAATCAATACACACCATAAAATCTGAGGTTGAGTGGCATTAAGCCGTGTTGCTTAAACCTGATTTGTGTCCTCGTGCGCGCGTGTGTGTGTGTGTGTGTGTGTGTGTGTGTGTGTGTGTGTGTGTGTGTGTGTGTGTGTGTGTGTGTGTGTGTGTGTGTGAGACACAGGGAGATCCAGCACACATCTGCGACGCAGGAGCAGGAGAGGAGCCAAAGAGGGGACGGAGGGGGCGCCGAGGGGGCCCGGAGTCAGATGTCTACGTCTAGCGTCGGAGAAGAACGAGCCATCTTGTTGGGCTTCACCATGATGGCTTTCTCTGTGCTCATGTTCTTTGTGGTCGGCATTACCACGGTTAAGCCTTACATTGACAGGTACTCTGGTGTACACATCCAAGCTGTCAGTGGGGCTGATATATTACATCTTATTTAACACGCACTGCTCACCAGTGGGGTGGGCAACTCTGGAATGTGTCTTTGCTCTGCTCTTCTGCTGGAGTAAAAATACGGCTCTACAGTAGGTACCATGTATCTACCCATTTACTATACCTTCTTTGGCAGAGCACAGGGAACGAAGGACGGACAAGCAAACTCCAAATAAAAAGACCTCCATCTAAGATTTAAACCATGGACATCGTTGTTGTGATGTAGAAGTGCCAACAATTGAACCTCCCATGGCAGATGTAGTGCTACATGGTCCTTAAAAACACAAACTAAAGTGATTAAGAGAAAAAAGTTGAGACATGTTGAATAAGATGCTACCCTAACTCAAATTTTTTTGTAACCCTTTAAAGTCTGTAAGGTTATGAAGCTATTGAGATCCATTAGTCCATAGTTATAGGAGAGTCTTTGGCTGAGATATTTGAAATCTGATGGTAGGTCATCCCGTCCTGCAAAAAGATAGTTTAGTCCAAATGGTACCTCAGTGGGAAATTCCACAGAACTGCAAACAAAATGAGCTCAAGTAACAGATTACTAGTCTAAGAGACCACAAATGGCTAAAAGGCAGTGAGTCCATTGTTTCACTCCATTCAGTTTGTCAAGGAACTGCTACACCACATGTGCAAATGCTTCTCTTCGTCTCAAGAGTGTTGTGTCTCTATGCAAGGTTTGCTTGAGCTCAGTCAGTTGGTTCCTCTCATGCCAATATTCTATCTGACATACTAGAATTATTGTCATACTGGTGATAGTTTACAATGCCAGAGGGTTTTGGTCATTCTTCTCTAAAATGTCCCTGGTGACTGTTCTCCAGTTGCTGGGAGGAGGCTAGCTGTGTCCTGCCTCAGACTGATATCCTGGAAGAGTGGGTGGACTGCAGAGGGGTGAGCACGGTGCCCTGCCTTACTGTGACCGTCAGCGTCACCGGCTCCAACGAGTCAGCCTTTCTCCAGTTTGACGAGGATTCGGTCTTCCTTCCGAACGAGGTACACGTTTTAAATGCCTCAAAATTTCCCGAGTCTCTTGATGTTATGTGTGACTCTGCACTAAAGTTTACTGAGATCATAATGGGCAAAGATGGTCGTGCTAGTTCAGATGGGATAGATGCGAAATGAAAGACTTGAAGTCCATGAATCGATAACGCATCCGTTTTAGCAGATCCTGAAGCAACAAGCAACTTGGATTGTTTTTCTTCTGTTCCAGTGTTTCTATCTCCCCAAGTGCCAAATGGACAGAAAAGGGCTTCAGGACGAAGTGCAGAAAGTAAAGAAGTGGGTGGACGGCCAGCTGAAGAACAGCTCAGCGTGTTTCAGTGACCAAAAGGGACACCCCAACCATGTCATCCTGAACAGGAAGTACACGCTGCAGAGAGCGCTGTTCGGACTGCTGTGGCCCTGTCTGATGCTGGGTGGCGGATCTTTATTGGTGGGACTTGTAAAGCTGACACAGTGTTTGGCCCGCCTGTCCACTGATGTGAGAAGTTATTCCGGAGGAGGAAGGCGGACTTTGAGATACACTCAGGGCAAAATGTACAGACTCCTCCAGAGGTCAAGCATGCAATCTATCTTCTGACATATGGTGGAACACGCACCGGTCGGATTTGAGGGGTCTCTGTGATCAGAAAAAAAAAAAAAAAAAAAAAGGTTGAGAGTACCACTTGACTGGTCAAAACGTCAAAAGAGTTTACAGAGATCTACATATTTCTAAATCCCGTTATGCCTGAGGAGTTGGTTATTGACCAGGTCAGGCCTAAATTGATAAGATCAAAATCTTATGGTGATTATTTAATCTCACTTCAGTGTGAGCCAATGGTGGTAAAGTAGTAGAAAAAAAAAAGATCTGTCAAGTCTAAGTATGCTTTATCAGTGATGACTTAATGTTATGCTGTGTATGAAGTACCAGGTGTGTAAAGTTATTACACTGTGTACTATACATTAGTAAAGTACACAGTGTACTCTATACTAGCACACTGCAAAAACACAGCCTAACATATTAACACAGTTTATATGCTATGCTAGCCTGGAGCCTGCTGCTTTACAGTAATGCTGCTTGTTGTTCATCAACTGCCTATTTGTTACCTTAAGACTTATCTGTGCTACTCCTTTAGTTTCAACACAAAGATAGTCCATGTAAAATGATCAGTACTTTTGTTTGCAGTTTCTCTTCCATATGTCCAGCAAGTTACTCAAATTTTCTCACAGAGTGCATGTTGGGGCGTATGCCTGAATTTAAACAGTTAGAGACGCTTCTATGGCAGAGGCTTTTCAACAAAAATCAGGAATATCTATGATAAATGGTTTTCACAGTCTAATCTGTGATCATAGGTGCAATTCTAGCAGATAGATTAAACTACTATTAGATATTCCTGGCTGCTGGAAAAAGCCAGAATATCACAAAATCACAAAAATACTGACTCACAAAAATATACTTGTACACCTCAACCTAGACATATAAATATGGGTGAATATAAAATGAAGAGAAAATAGTATTTCCATTTAGGTTACAGTTACAAACTCAGTTAGCCTAATAATCAATTGTGTGTAGTAGAATCTAGGTAATTATGTTATTTCTATACTAGTACATTGTAAAAACAGTCTTGTCAAGTAATTTTGGTCTAGTTTCTAGGACAAATATCCTAGAAATATCTTGAAATAAGACAAAACTAACTTACAAGTAACTTTTCAGAAAGATCTGGGAGCTTGTTTTAAGTTTCAAATTCCTTCATATTGATGAAAAAGTACTAATTGACTTGGCTGATTATTTCACTTATAACAAAGCATTTTCCCCATGTTAGAAGTGAAATAATCTACTAGTGGAACTAGTACTTTTTCATCAATATTAAGGAATTTTTAACTTGAAACAAGCTACTTATAAGTTAGCTTTGTCAGATATTTGCACCAAAAACTAGACCATGGCATACATGGCAAGATTTTGTGTTTTTGCAGTGTACATTGTTTTCTATTGTTAGTTAATAAAAAAAAAAAAAACACTTAATTGTTTAAAATGTTTGTCCTGTATCTTTTTCATAATCATAATTAACTAACTGAAGTCAAATCACCTAATTATTCAATGATGACATTTAAAAATAAAACTTATCGATATCGGCGATACTAGCCTTGTGTTCACTACCTATCGGATCAAATAAAGATTTCCAGTATCGCACACCGTCTGTATTATTTAATCTCAGAAAGAAATAACTTATACATTTGGAGGGGCGGGGGAGGTTACTGTTTTTCTGTCTTGGCATGAAATAACTTTATCCAATAACGAGCATCTCATGAGTCCATCTGAAGCCACCAATCGGATAAGCTGAATGACTGCGACCGAAGAGGAGCAGATGTGGTTCAGTGGCAGTGACGAACACTTCAGGACGATACGAGTGTCTCCTCCTGAGGAGGCCGCAAGAATCACATTGGCTCCGTGGCAGAGCTCGCCCGACACTTGTACCAGGAACGGGTGAGTGGATCAGCTACTCACACCCACTTGGAGAGAATGATGCGACAAGAAGCTACTTCCGCCCCCAGAAAAACATCCGAGTACAGACAGAAAATCAGCAAGTAGAAGAAGAAGGAGGGGAAAAAAAAGAGCAATCCCATGAGTTGTGTGCTGTGCCAACGCTGAAGAATCCTGGTACAATGTGTAGGGTTGCTTCTCATCCAAGGCTGCGTGTCTCCTTCAAGCTCGGTCCAAGAACACTGCCATGAATAAAGAGCTGGATGGAATCGTCCTCCGGGAGCAACTTCTTCCAGCAATCTGGGAGCAACCAGCATGTTGGAGCAGAACGTCACACAGAAGAAGAAGTGGCTCACTTGGAATATTTTAACACGACTGATGATTAGCTTTAAAAAAAGAAAAACATGGTGGAGAAACAAACCGAGATCAACTCCAAACAATGAGGCAAGAGCGGGAGGCCGTCACTCAGAACATCATGGAACATTTTGCGTCACTGCAAAGATAAACAGCATCAATTCTGCACTTTTGTTTTTTCTCTGAATCATTAAAAAATACTTTCAACTACACAAATGTCTTTTCTAGACATTTTACGGCAAAAGTCCTGAGGCGAAGTCTACTGGCGATCATTTTAAAATTTAAAAGTTGATCTGCAGAGGTTAGCGGGAAAATTCAGAAACAATTGAAACAAGAAGTTTATATATATAATTTCTTTTCTCTGTCTGAAGTTAAATCGCAACAAACCTCTCTTGCATCAGGTCTGTTAGAAATACCAAAATTATTTGTATTTGCTTGATGCCACAATGAGAGAATGTCAGATATTTATCTATAAAAGCAACAAATATACTTAAAAAATGTAATGACAGACTTAATGTCTTTCAAATGTAAAGCTTACATCCAGAATGATTCCCGCCTCTTTAAGCAATGAGGGAAAGACCAGAGGATGATGTCATGACTTTGGAAACTTCTGATAGGTTAGCTGACACATTCAAATGAGTATGTGGGGAAATTTTCTGCTATAATTTGAGAGCACACATTTTGAGTTTGAAAGCAGGGTTTTGTGTCTTGTTTTCAAACCTTTTAATACTTGTGCTTACATTTTCATTTTGAAAGCAAAATGAAAAAGTTTTTCTTTGTTACTTTGTCTTTCTTCTCAAAACCTGTAATGCTTGTGCTCAAAACTTCTGCTCTTTCAAATATTCACTGTGCTCTCTCAAGCCTTTCTCCTCATGCTCAAAATTTGTCTCTGCTTAGATCAAATCTCCGCATGCAACCCTCCCTGCGAGCAGAGACAAATTTTGAGCGTGAGGTTTGAGAAAGCACAATGGCTAAAAAAAAGTTTTGAGCACAAAACTCAAAACTTTTGTGCTCATGTTTTGAGAAGAAAAACACAAAGTCCTGCTTTCAAAATGAAAATGTAAGTGCAAGTCTTAAAAGTTTTGAGAACAAAAGACATGAAAATCCTGCTTTCAGATGGAAAATGTGTGCTCTTGAATTATGGCAGATAAATTTCCCAAAAAATGAGGAAATGTATGTAAAAATTAAGAAATAAGTATCTGACATATTCTTTCTCTCATTTGTGGTATTTGTTAAATAAATGTTTTGTGATTCTCACTGATGCAAAACAGGAGAAATTTGGTCTGATTTCACTTCAGTGAAAAAAAAAAGTATTTTTATTTGGTGTATGTAAACTTCTGCTTTCAACTGTAGCTGAGTTTGAAGCCGCGTCGTAATGAAACCATTTCGTAAATTCTTGTCGATTCTACACACACTTAAAACGCGTAAATTGAATTTCAGAGCAAAAATCTAATTAGGGAAACGTTTTTTTTTTTTGTTTTTTTTATTCAACAGCACAATAAATGAATGTATAGTTTCTTAACAGACATGGTCATATGAGGATGCATGAAACAAGTAATCCGAAGAAGCTCTATGGGTTCTAGACGAGTGAGTATAGAAGAAACCCAAAAACTGGTCTGCTTTAAAACATGCAATGTATGGTTCTTCAAAAATCATTTTGTGCTTACAGAGTTCCACTTCAGGGGCGGGAGACGAGGATGGTACATGAGAACTTGTCCTTTAGTCACTCCGTCCTCACCACTAATGGAGGAAGGCAGCTGGACTTGGTAGGAGACTGGGTTAGGTAACGCACCGCTGCCTTTTTTTTTTTTTGTTTGTTTCTTTTCATTTACCGATTACATACATGAGTTTGTCTACATTTCAAAAATACAAAAATATATATTACCTCTGTAGTTATTCAAGGAAAGCATTTGCACATGTAATAGCATCTTGTTATCTTCATTCGGACTGTACCTCACACGAGTAACAAGATCGTTTCTGTACATGAAATTCAAGTAAACGACGTCAGACGAGAAAGGAGAGGGAGGCGTTCATGTCTGAGGAGTTCATGCGTGACAACGTGGAGATGACAGGAGATAGTCGTTTAGAGGGGGAGGGGCTTCGGGATCGTGCTTCGCCATGATGGGGTTTGGCTTCCTGAGCAGCAGAAAAGGCCAAGGGGACTTCATGTTGGAGACGAGGAGCTTCCTAAACGCGTGGAGATCGACTGATCCACCGGGGAAAAGGAAAGGAAAGGTTTGCAAGTAAGACATGGGCTGGTGTCAGGCTGTCATGGTAATGATTGGATAGAGCACTCAGGCAAAAATGTGGTTTTCCGAGTAAACATGGTCCGTTTAAAAGGTTTTAAAAGGACCTTTTAAGTACTTATAAAGGCATTCAAAGGAATTTAAAACTGCCTTATCAGACTTTTATTAAACATTTTTCTTAAAAATGTTGTATTGTCCTGACAGTATGACATTAATGTGGAATAAACCTGTGCTCATCTGCAGAAATAACCTGGTCAGAAACAACCAACCAGAGTCAGGAGGAGGATCTTAGTGATGTCAATCATCATCATGTACACGCTGCTCACACCCTTCCCCCTTGCTCGCTGCTACGCTACAGCTAGTTAGCATAGCCACCGCTGACGGTGAATAGTTTTCTGTAGCCGGAAATTGTTTTTCTCGCCATTAGCACAGCTAGCCTACATGAGGGTGATTGAAAGCGCCAAGGCCCTCCTTCTGGTTCCGATTGGTCGTCTGCATTCCTGCAGTGGAGAAGACAGAGGAGCTTGATTTTTTTTTTTTTCAGATCATCTATCTTATATTACACCGTTGCGACATGTTTTTAAAACATGCTGCAGATTTAACGTTTTAACATTTCTGTAACTTTTTTAGGAGCAGCACCTAATTCCACCCATGCCTACTTGAAAACTTCAGAGAATGTCACCTTTCTTTCTAAATCGGAAGATGAAGAAACAGAATGAGGCATAATAACGCACAAGGCTTCGGCAAAGAGGAAGAGAGAAAAAAAAGGGGTGGGATTCCAAAGCGTTTCCTCCACACAGTTCGTTCTGCTGGGAGGAAGAAGCAGTAGACTTTAGTGTTCCGGGGAAACGGTTTCGCTTCTTCTGCTCCCCCCCCCCAGAGGCGAGCCGTCTGTCCGTCCATCACCGTCACGGTTCTGAGTATCCTTAGGGAGTTTTCATTCGTTTTCTAGTATACAGTACATGTTAGAGCCACAACTTGCATAGTGGAACAGAACATCAAGCTAAAGGAACATTACACACACTTTTTTTTTTCACTCCTGTGTTTCAACGCTGGAAAAAAAAAAAAAAAACTGAGTGGAGCTAGGTGATGTGGGGGGTTTCCTCTAGCTCTGCTGGGTGGCTGCGACGGTAATACTGACAGACAAAACAAATACTGCAGAGATCAGTGCTATGTGTACACACAAAACATGGAATAGTAGTGACTGGGTTTTTTAGGCTGTTTAAAATAAGACTGCTCTGTAGTGGGGTTTTGAACACACACACACACATATTATATATATATATATATATATATGGTACTTTGGCTCAGTAGAAAATTCTGTTATAAAGAAATATGTGCACCAAATGCATATAAGCAAAGAGATATAGTGCTGTAGAAAACTCAATCACGCGGCGCGCTCACGAACACGTCACCGACGACTTCCAGGTTCAGTCTCGTAGTGTGCTGCTGCAGAAAATGTGAAATTTTTCAGACCACAGATCGTTGAGTGTTGTTGACAGTTCTGCCGCGTCGTAAACCAGGAGGCGTTCTGTCCTTTTCGGGGTCGGGGTCACCTTCATCAAAACAAGGTAGTAGAAAACGCTTCAGTCAGGTCGTCTTCAGGGAAAGCTCTGGCTGATGATTGGAGATGTACGGGAAGGAATAAAAAGTAAGAAAATATTCTTTTGTGTCTGTATGTGTACATATATATATATATATATATATATATATATATATATATATAAGATCAGCGCCGTTCAGGCTCCCTCTACTCATTCTGTTTGTATGAGAAACGTCACCGTTGCTTCTCAAAGTCATCATTAAGGGGAAAGAATATCTCGACTTGGACTAATAGATGCTTTTAGGTGTTCGTTTTGTCTTCAATGCAGGCTTTTTTTTTTTAAAGCATCTTTGTTTTTGTTGTCTAGCTCAGCGGCTATAACCAGACCTTCACGTGGTTTTGGGAAGGAAATGGAGTCCTCTCAGTTCATGCAGAGTCCTCTCAGTTCATGGCGTGCTGGCGGATGGTGTGGAAGATCCAGTCCATCTTGGTGGTCCAGCCGCCGTGATGGGCGTCGTTCATCTGCTTCATGAAGTAGTCGAGCGCCTCCTGCTCAGACTTGTCCAGGGCCAGGGTCTTCCTGATGTAGGCGATGTCGTCGAACGACTGCAGCTCTGGCATGCCCGAGCCCAGCATCATGGAGAACAGGTTGATGAAGAGGTTGGCGTGCTGCCGGATGGCCAGGTAGGCCTTGTAGCACATCTCCTGGAACCTGAGAGGGTTGGTGAGCAGGGTGGGCAGGGGTCACAATAAGCAATAAAACAATTAGTTCATTGGACAATAAAAGAGAATTGTTTTTGTCTCCAGTAGATAAATGTTCTCAAAATTAAAAGCTGGATTTTCCTTATTGTTTCAGTTTGATATTCTGCTGCTGGAAGAAAGGCTAATTGTGCTTTTCATCTTTCCCAGAGCTGCCGATAAATTCCCCCATGTCTGCATCCCGGACCGTTCCCATTCGATCCACTCCAGCAGTCTCACCTTTCGAACTCTCTGGTTTTTGTACACTCCTGCGTTCCTTTGCTGATGACGATCAAGAAGTCCTGCGTGAGAACAAACGGGACCCGCTCTCTCTTGTACCCGAACTTCTTCTTTTTGTGGTCGAGGAAATGGCCAAAGTCTATGTGGAACAGCTGCGAACGCACAGCAGTAATGTTTGATCATTACAAAAAAAAACAAACAAAAAAAAACAGGGAGTTTTTAGGTGCACCTGAGAACAAAAAGAGGTTTTCCCACCTGTCCGTCGTCTTTCACCATGATGTTGCTGTTGTGTCTGTCTCCAATGCCGAGGATGAAGGTGGCGACGCAGTAGCCGGCGCACGACCGCGTGAACAGATCGATGGCCTGGTCGTACCTAACAGAGGGAAAAAATAAATAACAACCAAATAAATCGTTCAATTCAAGCTGTTGGTGTCTTTGTGGTGCAAAATGGCTTGCAAAAGTATTCACACCAAATTAAATTTTTTTCACATTAGAATTTTAGGTGGCAGACCAACACAAAGCAAAGCATCACTATGAAAGTAAAGGAATAATGTGGTTAAAATAAGATAAAAAATAAATAAATCAAATCAAAGTTGTGTCGCATTAACATCCACGAGTATTATGCTAAGAAACAAAAAATTAAGAGAAAAAATTAAGATTGTAAGAAAAAGTCGTACGAGATTGACGTCACAATATTAAGAGAATAAAGTCGGGAAAATGTGAGAAAAAAAGTCGTACGACAAAAGTCCCAACATTATGAGAACAAAGTTGTAACTATTTCTTAAAATATCAGAAAATATTTTTTAAAAACTTGCTTTTTATTTCAATTGTTACAATTTTTTTATATACTTTCCAAAAACGTAAACAGAAAATCTCATCAATCGATAAAATTGATTTGTAATGGCACAAACACGTGGAAGTGGCTGCTCAGCTGATCAAATTGGGTCCAAAACATGGTGGTGACAGCATCATGCTGTGGGGATGCCTTTGTCTTTAGCTGGAACTAACGGGCAGAGGTTCAACTTACAGCAGGGCAACATACAAGCCAGAGCTACAAGTCAGATCAACGCACATTAATGTGTTAAAACGGCCTAGTCTAAGCTCAGACCTAAATGTAATTAAAAATCTGTGCTAAATCTTGTTCAATCAGATAGAAAGTGTGGCTTTCCTTCACAGTGTGAACCACTTCCTGTTGTTCCGTCATATAAAATCCAATAAGTTTGTGTGTGAACAAACATTAAAAACGATTCAAAGGGTGTGAATACTTTCTACATATCAAGTTTTCCCGCTGCTCACATTTCCCCCTTGTTCTTATCCTTGAGCCACTGGTGCAGAGCGTGGCTGTTGAACTGCAGCGCCCCCTTCAGGCCTCCTTTGCACTGGATCTGCATGATGGTGTGAGAGTTCCTCACCACTTCGATCAACCCCACGCAGTCGCCGATAGACAGGCAGCCGTACGGCAGCATCCTGAGAGAAAAACACGGAAACGCAGACAGAGATGACAGGCTTGTTCACAGAATGGGAGGGACAGACGAGTCTGCCAGCATGTAGAAAAAATAAAAATAAAAAAAAATAAAAAGAAACGGGACTGAAAGCGTGTGCCTGCGTCTCCCGCTGTCATGAGGAAGTGAGCGGCCTACCTGAGATCAAGGCCCTGGTTCTGCCAGATGTTCTCCATTATCCTAATGATCTGCAGCGTCAGCATGTCCTGCCTCAGATCTGCGGAAGCACCGAGGTGAACAACTGAATATTAGCCGCTTTGATCAGCAGCTCTGCACCGCTCTTTGTGGGAGCGGAGTCGTTAAAGTCAGGCCGATCTCACACGAGCTGCAGCCGAGTGTGAATCAGACACGCTTCTAAAAGAGCAGGGGAGATGGATATGTGTGTACGTGTGTGTGTGTGTGTGTACGTGTGTGCGTGCATGCGCTGTGACACACCCTGCAGGATTTAACTGGATGCTGCACCGAGTGAGAGAGAGCAAGAGAGGCAGGACTCACCGTCTCCATTTTTGAAGATGATTTCGTTGTTCTGGAAGAGAAGTTCGGACATCATGTCCGGGTTTTCCCAGTTCAGCCAGAGAGGTCGCTTTGCCGATGACATCATCCGACATTCCTCCAGGCTGAAAGAAACATTTTTCAGTGAAAAACCAAGAAAAAACAGTCAGCTTTTCAGAACTATTCAGTCTCTCCTCATGAGTGCTGCGGCTGTAGAACTTACTGTACGTCTGCATTATGTCATTATGTCCCCAAATCACATAAACAATAATTACTTTAGAAATTGATCAGATGAAAAATTTGCTCATTTTGCAGATTTTTAATTTGATCACTTAACCTTTTTTTATACAATATTAGGAACACATTAAAAAGACACAAATATTTATTCTTTTTTAAATAAGAAAAACATTTTATTGCCCAACATGCAATCACATAGCATTCCTTTAGTGAATGCTATGTGCTAAAAAATTACATCCAACATATTTTTAATTTTTACTTTTTTTTTTTTTTTTTTTTTTTTTTTTTACAGAATTTGAACCACGTGAAGCTATAACTGGCACTTGAGGAGTTCTAAGTAGAATATTTTTACAGATACATTTTTTTTATCTCGAGTGCAAAATGTTGATGTTTTGGGTAAACTGATTAATTACAACTGATCCGATTAATCACAATAAATCAATTAATCAGAATTAATAAAAAAACATTAATCACAATTAATTTGATTAATCATGATAGATCCAATTAATCACGACTGATCCGATTAATCAGATCAGTTGATCAGAGGTTAATTGGATTAATCACAATTAATCCAATTAACCTCCATTAATCCGATTAATCGTTTCAGCCTTAAACTGCAGACCGGTGTGCTGTTTCGCTGTGAGAGGTCAGAGGGCGTACCGGAGGTTTCCCAGCTGATGTGCCGGGTTGAGCGGAGAGGTAAAGCTTTGTAGTGCATCCATGTAGTCAGGCCTCTTCATCTGCTCGACCAGAAACTTCATTTGGACCTTTTAGGAGATGAAAGAGAAATCAGTCACTTCCATAACTCTGATGTAAACGCTACGGCTCAAACTCATCTGCAACATTTACCGTCTACAACACATTGATTTTTTTGTTTCTTTTTTGTATGAGAATGCACCCCCTGGTGGCCATATGTGAGGATTACAGCCATAGTGTTGATTGTAAGATTATGAGCTACAAAAATTAAAAATGTAACTACAGTTAACAGTTTCATGAAGCCAAAAATCTGAGTTTGGCAGCTGATCTGCGTTCAGATTTATTTCACGAATAAAAGAGAAGTGTTGCACACATCCTCTCCTGATCCGCAGCTCCACTTGGCTGGGACACAATCAGGACAATCCGCTTTGGCAGCCGCAGCTCGGAGTTTGGACACAAGTAAGCACAGAAAGCAGAACGGTGTCACAGACACAGACATCCTCGTTACAGGGAGCTGACTTTCACAAGAAGATGTGAGCAAAAGTGGAGGTAAGCCTAAAGGCTGCAACAGCAGCTTTTCATGCGACTTCTCTCATGCGCATTTAA